GTAAATAGTCTAATTCGGTAGGTCACATTCGTGAAAAGGGAAGGGTATTGTAGTTACTACATAAGGAACATATCCGATATCATCTGTGAAACGGTTATTCCATAACGGTAAACCAACTCGTGATGGCGTGCGTAAAATTTACGAAGGGATGATTTCAACTTCCCCATTTGGAACTCTTGGTTTAATAGCTTCCTTGTGAGCAGCAATCCTTTATCAAGGAAATCATGATAGGAAATACAAGCCCGGGAATATCGTATCAATTGGGAGATATATACTCCGTATGCAGGCGCTGCTGGAATGTTGCTACATAGAAATGGAAAGTTCACAATTGGGAAACTGAAATCATCTCTTTTGTCGTAAAGTTTTGTTTTCAACCGACCCTCATTGTCAATTTCTAGATGTAAGTCAAGATATGAGGCAGAATTAACTGTATCTGTAGTATCCTTTATCTCTAGTTCGATGGAATAGATTCGTTCAACATAGTCACCAAATTTTGTATTATTTAGTGAGAGAACATCATCTATATAGCGGAACGTAAAGTTAAAGGATATTGCTAGCTTCTTATCTTTCTTCCTAAGAAGTTCCTGTATGAAGTCAGCCTCATAATAATAAAGAAACAAGTCAGCAAGAAGGGCACAATTGGTTCCCATTGGAATTCCGACAGTCTGTTGAAAAACAAGTCCTCCAAAACGGAACAAATATGTTGTCAATCAAGAAATTAAGCATCTTGATAATGTCAGTTTCAGAAAATTTTTTGTTTGAATCAGAGAGATTCTTTACAAAGTAGGATTTATCCCTCCCCAAGACAAGATAATCTGTTCTGTTTCCCGTACCCAATTCAATGAAGAAAAAAAATATTGGTACTTGAAAATTGGCTGTCATACTTATATCACTCAAGTCTGACAATGTCAATTTTGTGCAGAACCAAGGATTGATTGATTGGTGATTGCTTTATGCTGCATCAGCACAATGAAAGAACCTTAGTGAGCGTGCTCACATACCCCACGTCCCCACATTGTCATTGGAGAAATAAAATAACTGTAAGAAAAAAAATTGAATCATAATTTCCTGTAAATATGCACATCTACATAGTATGTCCTCATTATCTACACAGTTTCATGAATTCTGTTGTGTGGTTTGAGAGGAAATGCGATGACAAAAGGTTGCAGTAGTATATTGGGCAAATAAGTTAAAAGGGGCGTAACTCCTGGGAAAAAAAATTGAATCGTAATTTCCTGTCGATATGCACATCTACGTAGTATGTCCTTATTATCTGAAAAGGTTTCATGAAATTCTGTTGTGTGGTTTGAGAGGAGTTGCGATGACAAAAGGTTGCAGTAGTATATTGGGCAAATAAGTTCAAAGGGGCGTAACTCCTAGAAAAAAAATTGAATCGTAATTTCCTGTCGATATGCACATCTTCGTAGTATGTCCTTATTATCTGAAAAGGTTTCATGAAATTCTGTTGTGTGGTTTTAGAGGAGTTGCGATGACAAAAGGTTGCAGTAGTATATTGGGCAAATAAGTTCAAAGGGGCGTAACTCCTAGAAAAAATTGAATCGTAATTTCCTGTCCATATGCATAACTACATAGTATGTCCTTATTATCTAAAAAAAGGTTTCATGAAATTCTGTTGTGTGGTTTGAGAGGAGTTGCGATGACAAAAGGTTGCAGTAGTATATTGGGCAAATAAGTTCAAAGGGGCGTAACTCCTAGAAAAAAAATTGAATCGTAATTTCCTGTCAATATGCATAACTACATAGTATGTCCTTATTATCTAAAAAGGTTTCGTGAAATTCTGTTGTGTGGTTTGAGAGGAGTTGCGATGACAAGAAATAGGACTGACGGACAGACGGACGGACGGGTCAAAAACATTATACCCTCCACAACTCGTTGCATGGGGTATAAGAAGGCTATAGAACCAAGGATGTTAGTATCTATTGGCACAAATGATAGAAAAAAAATATTCCAGACTCAGCTATATCTGGGACCTAGTTAATATTAGGTCCCAGGTGTCAGATAGAATTTGTTATACTAGGAAATCATAAACATAATGGATAAGGGGAATATTGAATTGTAATATTATGCCCAAAGGCACATGTCACAGGCAGTAAATATCTGGTATTTCTCTGTCTCTGTCTGATGTGTGTGTTTTGTATTTTTTGTATACTTTTTATTTTTTTTGGGGGGGGGGGGTCACAAAATTGAATGAAAGAGATAAATTCCAAATTTTGTTTCAAGGAAGCATTATGAAAAGCCTGACTGTTGTCTAAGAAGTGTTAATTCAAATGGGAAAGTCCATGTGTCTTTAGTAAGTTCAGATAATAAATTCTGAAAGTATCTCGTGTGAAATATGCAACTATAAATAAATGACTAACATTTCAATGATAGGAAAGTTAGCATTTTATAATTAGACTTTTTTTTAGAAAATTCTGGAACAGTTTCTTTTTTTTTAATTTTTCCTCAAACAAATCTGTTGTTTTTTTTACACTGAATAATGGAAAAGACCTGCTTTTTACACTTTTTATAATTGTGTTTAGAAGCGTCACCTATTTCTATAATTAACTTGGGGAAGCCTATTTCAGATCGGGTCAATGTCAGCAATAGCTGCTGATGGAGTTGGACGCTGACAAAATATTAGGATCATAGATCATCGTGAGACATGGTACTAACCAGCATACACTTTTACTTTACATGCTGTTTGAAAAAATTAAAATAAATGTGTTTGTTGTTTGATAATGGTATTTTTACAGAAAATACACAAATATGAATTTTTACACAGAGACTTCTCTGCTTAAAAATCTCTGTTTTTTGAGGAATTGACTCAATTCTTCCATAGTTTTACGCTATGTATATTTTACATTAAAAATACTAGTGAACAGTTGTTGTAATATGTGCTTATTGATGTTTAATCAATGATTGCAAACCAGCTCCAGGAGAAGTATCAACACGTCGGTTGACGAAATGACAACAAAAAACATGCACTTTCATTGAAATCAATTCCGACAGGTGACTGTCGTGTGCAATTTTAATAATGTCATAGAGACACACAATCCAGTTCAATCATGTAAAGAAAGTGTTAACCTGCTGATCAATTATACAGTCATATTTGCTCTAGCTGCTTTTGCTTTTGAGGTATAAGCCAAATATGGGATTTTCCCCCTATGTTCTTTTTTTAGCAACAGAACCCATATTTGTTGATAAATCAAATCCCTGTATACAAACTAGATACCCTACAGAACATTCAGAAAAAGTAAGATTAAATTTGGCCCAGTAATTTCATAGCAGAAGATTTTTTTAAAATTTACTACAGAAAGACGGATGACAGACACTGGACGCCAAGTGATGGTAAAAGCTCTTAGATGAGCTAATAAAATGCTCAGCTGGGCGTAGCTTGATAGGACAGCAGAGGTCGAACCCTGAACAGTTGGGGCAAGTATGGACACAACATTCAAGCTTGATACAGCACTGAATTTGGATAGTGATTAAATATTTGACACAGCATAGGTTTCTGACACAGAATGAATGTGGTCTAAGAGCTTAAAGATTTTTAATTTACCTATTCAAACCATATCATTATTATTTGTTTTTATATATAAATCGGAAATAACCAATTTAAAAGGGAAAATTTAAAAAAAAAAAAAGGAAACCCTCCCCCCCAAATTTTTGGAACCCCTTATGATTCATCACCCCCAAACTCAATCCCAGCCTTCCCTTTGTGGTATGGTACCTTTCAGTACAATTTCAGAGAGATCCATACACTTGAACACAAGTTATTGTCTGGAAACTAGAAAAATGCTTGTTTTTTGGCCCCAAATTCCTAAACGTTTAAAGCAATTACCCCCAAACTCAAACCCAGCTTTCCCTTTGTGATATGGAACCTTGTAGTACAATTTCATAAAGATCCATACACTTACACACAAGTTATTGTCAAGAAACTAGAAAAATGCTTGTTTTTTGCCCCTTTTTGGCCCCTTATTCCTAAAATTTTCAGGCAATTACCCCCAAATTCAATCCCAGCCTTCCCTTTGTTGTATGGTACCTTGCAGTACAATTTCAGAGCGATCCATACACTTGAACACAAGTTATTGTCTGGAAACTAGAAAAATGCTTATTTTTGGCCCCTTATTCCTAAACGTTTTGGGCAATTACCCCCAAACTCAATTCCAGCCTTCCCTTTGTGATATGGAAGCTTGTAGTACAATTTCATAAAGATCCATACACTGACACACAAGTTATTGTCATGAAACTAGAAAAATGCTTGTTTTTTGCCCCTTTTTGGCCCCTTATTCCTAAAATTTGCAGGCAATTACCCCCAAAATCAATCCCAGCATTCCCTTTGTGATATGGAACCTTGTGGTACAATGTCAGAGAGATCCATACACTAACACACAAGTTATGTCTGGAAGTTACAAAAATGCTTATTTTTGGCCACTTTTTGGCCCCTAATTCCTTAACTGTTGGTACCATAACCCCCAAAATCAATCCCAACCTTCCTTCTGTGGTATTGAACCTTATGGTAACATTTTATAAAGATCCATTCTTTTAAACTAAAGTTAGAGTGCGAAAACCAATGTGTCTTTGGACGCCGCCGACGACGACGCCAACGTCATACCAATATACGACAGCAAAAAAAATTTTTGCGGTTGTGTCGTATAAAAAAGGTAATTTCTGCACCTGTCAGATTTTCTCTATCTATAGCAGTTTTCATGATAATAGACAACACTTACATTTTACGAGAGAAAGAGAGAGATATGTTTGGTACCAGCTAGCCAAGAGGGTTCACTGGTAAAAATATAAGTTCATGGATACATAGCAGGTGCCTACTGTTAGCTATAACTGGCCTAGTGAGCCAGGTATATTTTGCTAAATATTCATAATGATTCGTTAGACCCTCAGTGAAAATGTATTTGTATATACACACACTTGTTAATATGTACAAAACAGAACATGTTGAAATAAATTCTTTTATATCTTAACAGTATTAGATCCTGACTTACTTGTGGATAAGCTGCTGTATATATAACATTTTGTTGACCACCTGACGGATCTGTTAAAATGTTGTTTGTTAATGTCTGGCCTCCTGCAAAAAAGCAAAATCAAAATTTCATTCAAACATTAAAAACTTATCAACACTATTCTATTCTTTATGAAACTGACTTTCACTTTTGTTTTTAATTGCAATATTTTATCAATTGCATACAAATATTTCATCTTCTCTTTTACTGAGTATATAATATTGACAGCTTTTTTTTTATAAACATCTGGTATTATAAATATATTGTTTTTTGATATGAAAAAACTATTTTTTGCATCGCCTTTTGATATTTTTGCAGTTTTACCAAATAAAATAAATTGCTTCGCCGAGCGCAGCTGGATACGACCGCAGAGGTCCAACCCTGAACAGTTGGGGCAAAAATGGACACAATATTCGTGCTTGATACAGGTCTGATTTTGGATTGAAATTAAATGTTTGACACATAATAGGTTTCTGACACAGAATAACTGTAGTCAAAGAACTTAGAATTGGTTATATGATTTGAATTTATATTCAATTTTTTGCTTTTGTGCAATTCACGATGCTGTTGCAAATTGCCCCCCCCCAAAAAAAAAAATGTCCCCACCTTTTTTTTTGCTTTTGTGCAATACACTATGCTGTTGCAAATTGACCCCCCCCCCCCCCTCAAAAAAAAAAAGTCACCCCTTTTTTTTTTGGCAAAAAATTTTTTGTTCACCCCACATATAATATTTGAAGAAATTTCCTTTTTAATTTCTGAAATCTGTAATAAGAAAAAAAAATTATCCCCCCCCCCACAATTTTTTTTACCTGCCCCCCCCCCCCCCCCACTTTTCCCAAAAAAAATCTTTCCCTCAAGATATGGTCATTATCTCAATTCAAATTTCCAATGGAGTTTGCAACCATAATTACCCATTTAAATACATCATAAAAGTCTTAAAATAGAAAATGACATACATAATCATGTCTAAAAATAATATATCTTTAATCAGCATTTTTATTAGTAACTTCTAAAAATAAATTGAGAGCTAATCACCTCAAGACAATACAAAATTTCTTTATACATAATTTTAAAGCAATGTAAGGGAGGTAATCCAAATTTAACATTGTACTTAAAAGTGATTGTCCATTAACAAGAAAACCCTTGTTTTTTTCCCCTTTTTTGCCCCTAATTCCTAAACGATTTGAGCCATTACCCCCCAAAGCCAATCCTTACCATCCCTTTGTGGTATGGAAACTTGTTGTACAATTTCAGAGATCCATACACCGTTCCACAAGTTATTGTCTGAAAACTAAAAAAATGCTTATTTGGGCCCCTTTTTTGGCCCCTAATTCCTAAACTGTTAGGACCATAACCCCCAAAATTAATCCCAACCTTCCTTTTGTGGTTATAAACCTTGTGTTTAAATTTCATAGATTTCTATTTACTAATACTAAAGTTAATGTCCGGAAACCAAGTGTCTTCAGACGACGATGACGAAGACGTGATACCAATATACGACCACAAAATTTTTTTACGGTTGTATAAAGACTTCTTTTGTTACTAATATTCAATCTGTTCTAATAATATCTGTGTATGTCCACAATCCCAAAGTAAATGTTCTACTGTCTCAATTTCTCTATTGTACAATTTGGATGATCATAAATCTTAATTTTATGAAGAAATCTGTTTGTAGCTATGATTTGATGGTTGAATCTATAGTAAACTGAAGTCACTGTAGCTTGGAATGTTTTGTGACAACAAATGGCAGTTTAGAATTTTTTTCCTATGATTTTTATGTGACCAGGTGGAATAAGGCTAATTATGACCTGAATGCAGAATGTTCAAATACTTTATTAAATATAACAAAGAAGGCAATGACAGATCTGATACTGCTGGCTAGGACTCATAATGTTCTTCCTACTGATTTATTACGCATTGACAATATAGAGAAAAATCACAGTATGTATAGTCAAAATACAAGGTCAAACTAGCCAGTACCAGATAAAACAATCATTCAGAAATGTAGTTTGTCCAATAGCCAGGAGTGAGTAAAAATCAAAGAGCCTACATGGAGTATTTGGATTCACTGAACCATATAATAAATAAATGGAGAATATGTCCATGGGACACAGATGATGCCCCCTCTTGCATATATTGTTATAAAGAGACATAACTAGAGAACTGTAAAAGTGACTCCACCCACTTTGAACTTGATCTTTGTTTTATGGTAATGAGCATTGTGTATAAGTTTTCTTAACATTTGGTTGAGGCAAACTAAAGTTAGAGAACGGAAACTAATTTTGTGTCTATCTTATCTGACTAGTGGTAACTTTTATTTTTATTTAAAACAATATATTGTATCTTTACATTCTTTCAAACTTTAAACAAGTCTTTTATTAGAAGATGGAATTAAAGGTAGTTCTAAACTTGTAATTTTTTCCCACAAAGGATTTTGATGCTTGATGTACAGTAGATATAATGCTATTTTATCTAAAATTCAGAAAAAGACAATCTGATGGACAGCAACATTGCTAATTAATTCAAGGTCACTGGACCATGAAATAGTGGGCAGGGCCTCAAAATGGCCAACATACTGAGATGTACAGACAGTAATGTAACTTTGTAGAAAATATTGTTGTCTATTGTAAGTAGTTCCTATCTAACTTAAGCAGAAAACTTAACATTGAAAATTGGTTATTAACTGAATGTCACTGGACCATGAACTACAGGGGTAGGAAGTCCAAATAGTCGTCAAACTGATATGTACTGATAGTAATGCAACTTTATAGAAAATATCATTGATCTATCAAAAAGTTGATCCTATCAAACTAACTTAAGCAGAAAACTTAACATTGAAAATTGCTTATTAATTTAAGTAGCTGGACCATGACCTAGGGGGCAGGGCCTCAAAATAGTTGACAAACTGATATAAAATGATAGTAATGCAACTTTATAGAAAATATCATTGATCTATCACAAGTAGTTCCTATCAAACTAACATAAGCAGAAACTTAACAGTGAAAATTGCTTATTAATTCAAAGTCACTGGACCATACACTACAAACCAGTAAAAGTCTGAAATGGCCTATATTTGTACTCGACTGAACTGATTTTTACTCGACCAGTCTGAATTGGTCTGAAATTTACTTGATATTACTCGACTGTAGTCTGAACCATACTAAACAGTCTGAACTTGTACTCGACCTTTACTCGACCAGTACTTAACCATTTTATACGAGTCTGAACCATACTCGACATAGCCTTAACCATTCTCGACCAAGTCTGAACCATGCTCGACCTAGTCTGAACCATACTCGACCTAGTCTGAACCATACTCGACCAAGTCTTAACCAACCTAGACCTATTTTTTGTATCTATCTATATTATTTTTTCATTAATTTAGGAACTGTTATTCATATATATATATATATAAAATGTATATCACATTTAAAATTAAAATAAAACAAGGTGATCAAATTGCTGGTTGGATTAAAAAAATATCATGAAATAAATTAAGTTCGTTAAATGAATTTCATATACATGATATCATGTTCACATTGATTTATGCATCAAAAATACTATAACTTTCAACCATTATTCAAATATCTTAAATGTTATTCAATTTTTTTTTTATCAAAATATATATAAAATAGTATATAAAGCAACTTAATAAATGTTAGAATTGACACGTTTGTTTTGTAAAATCAAAAATTTAATATAATAATAATAATAAAACTTTCATCTTTTTATCCTTGATAACCTTTTAAAAAAGGAAATGTATTCCAAAGTTGCAGTAGAAATTTATTTTAATTAAATTTAAATACGTTTTGTCAAAATTAAAGACATGGCATACAAGAAGCAGTTTAATAAGGTTTAATGGTTTAATTACCTCAGTACAGGTGTTTTACAGGTAAAAAGAAAACCATATTTTTCTTAAACTCGTGTATTACTTATCTAGTGAATTCAAAGGCCTTGTTATTTAAGTTTTACAGGATGTTGTAATTTTCAATGGATGTTATTTAAAATTTATTACTCTCTGACCAGGTGTGATCTTTTTAATCAGTGTGCGTCAAGCAGGATGTATTACTTTATAGTTTACCCCTTATCAGAAGAAAAATTTTATTCATTTCTTGAATTTTTTATCCCTTTTAAAATATATATATATCCCAAATTATGAATAGGAATAGATATATTTTTGATATAAGGTTAAACAATGTCAGTGATTTTGTTGGCTGTTGTTACCTCATTAAAAAGATAGTTATATAACTATTGTATATAACCATGAAACCTAAGTACAGAAAGTCACAGGACAAAAAGTCACAGGACAGAAAGTCACAAATTTGATAGGACAAAAAGTCACAAATTTGATAGGACAAAAAGTCACAAATAATTTGTATACAATTGATTCAATATTTATGAGAAAGATCTTGAAATGTTTACTTTTTATGACACATATTCATTTTACAGTTTAGGAAATTGTTCATAAGACTTAATTTGATAAATAAAGATTTATAAAATTTTAATCATGCAAAGGATATATTTCTTGGCACCATGAAGCCATTTAAGTACCAAGACATTGTAACATTTTGTTTTCTTAACAATTATTTGATCATTATTGATATTGTTTCAAGAAAAATACAAAAATGTTTTTTTAAAAATAAGTGTTCTATTGTTCAAAGAAAAATAACCTCAAAACTGAATTGTGACTTTCTGTCCTACATTCGTTTTTATTTAGGAATTTAGGAAAATCAAGTTTTGTTTAAAAAAAAACCACATGCCAAACAAAAAGCACCTTATTTTTAATAAGGTTTTATTACCCTCAGTATAGGTGTGGTTTTCAGGTAAAAAAAGTCTTTTATTTAACAAGACTCAGACTTTAAAATTAGATAATTTAACTATCTCCATTTGCCAAATCTTAGAGAATCATGTATTATTAAAGAATGTAAAAAATGTTTTTATATATATCTTTATTTATTGTGGCTGTTGTCATGTAAGTTAAAGAGAAAGTTATTTAAACAATCAAAATTATAAAGAAGAGGTTATTTGGTCAAGTATGGTTCAGACTGGTCGAGTATTGTTCAGA